GTTGGTGAGTGTGTTTGGTTAATTAAAAACACATGTTGTGGCAGCCAAACCATGGAGCAAGGAAAACTGGTGCCCAGTCAAAAAACGAGTGTGGGTGACAAATTCCAGCATAAGCAATGTTTCACCAGTGACACCAAACACATTTAAAACAACAGCTCAGTTTATTTTGAATTTGTAACGCAGTGTTAGCAGAACAGACACAGTCCGACAGCAGGCTGGGTCAACAAGCTCAACAAGGCCTTGGCACAGAGATGTAGGAGTGGGCACAGGGTGGCACAGCTCAGAGCTCTCCTGCACCCCCATGTCTGCAGTAGGGGAGCCCCACTCCTGACGGGCCTGAACGAACGTCTCAAGAACAGGGGGGAACAGCAGAGAGTCTTGAAAAAGCACAGAAATGGACTCGGGACAGCTGTGTTTAAGGCAAGACGTGCAGGAGCCAGAGAAACCAGTCAAAAGTATTTCTGCACCCAGCAGCTCCCAGTCTGAGACAGTGGAGCGTTTAATGAGCACGGCTTCTACAAGTGTCAAAGCAGATTTCTACAGACCACAACAACGGCGCTTTTTACCTGTTTCCAACAGGAGAGCGCCCCCTACTGGGTTACCAATATGAACTGACTACTTCCTCCAGTCTCCACCAGCACAGTATATCCACCGCTATTCAAACCCAGCACTGGTGCAGGAGCCTGTAGCAGGTGTCAGGCCCTGGAACTGCAACGCAACATAACCAATTCAATCTGAGACGGTGAGAGACTTTGAAGCGATGCTTTCGGAGGAAACTGCCGATGACGGTGGTGGCAATGTTGTCCGCGTCCAGCAGGGGGTGCTGGCGGGCTGGGCTCCTCAGTCCGTCTTCCAGACGCCGTTCAGCAGCTTCACCACCTCCTCGTAGATGACGAAGACGATGGCCACGTCGAGGCAGACGCGGCCCAGACGCGGCACCGTGCCCTTGTAGAACCTGCAGGTGGCGACAGTGACTCAGGGGGCGTGGCTGGGCGGAGGCAGTGACTGTATTTCAAACCATTCAAGCCAGATTCACCACACACCCGTCCTCTTGCTATGCTGATAGCTGAATTGCTGAAAAACCAACTGCAGCACAGGGATAGTGAGTACTGCTGGGCTCTCGGTGGTGATCTTGCAAATAATTCTAGTGCCCTCTTGGCACACAGTAGCCCCAGGTTGGTGCAGATGGTAATATTAATTCTTTGTACTTATGCAGCGCTTTTCTGGACACTCCACTCAAAGCTCTTTACAGGTAATGGGGATCCCCTCCACCACCACCAGTGTGCAGCCCCACCTGGATGATCCACCAGTACACTCCCCACACACCAGCTCTCAGTGGGGAGTGTACTGGTCAGAGATGGGGATTATTAGGAGGCCATGATTGGTAAAGGCCAATGGGGTCACACCCCTTCTCTTTTTGAGAAACGCCCTGGGATTAATGACCACAGAGATTCAGGACCTCGTCTCATCCGAAGGACGCTGCTTTTCCCCCAGTGTAGTGTGCTCCAGAGCAGATACTCACGCCTGCGGCCCCTCGTTGCGAAGGATCTGGTAGGCGCAGTCCACTGTGCTCCTGTAGCGGTGAGCCTCCAAGCCCTGCCGACACAGCAGCACCCAGTCAGAGCCCTCGGGCGCACGGACCCAGTTTGGTCAAAGACCAAGACACCAGTGAGGCGCCGCGGCTTCACACACCTGCATCCGCGTCTTCACCACGTCCAGGGGCGTGTTTCCCAAGACGCTGGCCGCTCCCGCCGCGGCCCCAAACACCGCCGTCACTAGGGGGTGCATCTCCCGGCAGGGGTCATCGCCTAGGAGACAGACCCGCCTGCGGTTTACTGGGTCGGGCATGGGGGCGTGACAGACGGGCTGATCTCACCCCCCCAAAGTCCCAGTCCTCCCCCCCCCAATAACAGACACCACACAAGACACAGTAACCCTAAGAAAGACAGGAATGAACGGTTCAGTCTCAGGTCCGGCTCGGCTCAGACGGGCTCTGGAAAGGCTGGAGCTCCTGCTTCCTCCCGGACTGGATCTCCGCAGGAGAGGTCAGCTGCTCCCTTACCTTTGTACCAGTTGCGCAGTGAGGTCATGACGTAGAAGCGGATGGCCTGGTTGGACCCCTGTTTGAGCACCGTGGCCGTCAGTCCCTGGTAGGTCCCCCGGAGTCCTGCAGCAGAACGCAGGCTTGGGACCGAGGCTGCAAACAGCTGCGGGCGGCCAAACCCTCTCTTGTTCAGTCTCTATCAATTTGTTCAATTATTTTCACTGCAGCTGTATAGTGCTGTTCATCTCAAAGGACCTCAGACCACTTCCCTTACACCAGAGGATGCACTTCATTCCCCACTATAGATCAGCTGCAGGGCGACAAAACTGCTTCACCGGCTGCAAAAAGGGGGAGACTCTAGTGATCCCTGACTGTACCTGCCCAGTGATGTGTAATCGGAACCCTGGGGTGACCACCCCCACTCCTAAAAATGGTGCTGTGGGATTTTTCGGGACTAAGCAGTCAGGGCCCTGGTTTGACATTGATCTGCAAACTGTGCTCCAGGTGGGAGGGGCGGAGCGGTGGCTCTGTGGCTCAGGATCTGCGCCTGTGACTGAAAGGTTGCCGGTTCAAATCCCGCAGCCGGCAGAGGAATCCTACTTCATTGGGCCCCTGAGCAAGGCCCTTCACCCCAACTGTTCCAGCGATGCTTTACAATGGCTGACCCTGCCCTCTGACCCCAAGCTTCTCTCCCTGTCTGTGTGTCTGTGTCTCATGGAGAGCAAGCTGGGGTATGCGAAAAAGATACTATTAGCTATATAATATAGATATTAGCTATATGATACCAAATGCAAGAAATTATGTAAACAGCTGGGATTAGTGTCCAAACCACCCGTCGCGATGGTGAACCAGCCAGTAAGACAGCACTCCTAGGATCAGTTTAACACTTTATTGCCATAACGACCAGGTCAACCACCAAGGTCAGTGGCTGCCAACAGACCTCAGGAATGATCTGATCAGTTCTTAATATATTGTTGAATCAATGTGTTAATAATCGAGTCATTAACCAGACAACGTGCTGCACAGTGACTCTCAAGCATGGCAGTGGGTGGACAAATGTCTCAATTAGGCCGTTTTAGGCTCAGAGATGCATAATTATCAGTTCTCAACACTGAAACAGCCTTTCAGTTTTTTGAATCTGTACCCGCACTGCACTGGTCAATTCAGAGACACTGTGACACCAGTCTGTCAGGTCCAGGCAGGAGAATGGAAACCAGCTCAGGTTCATGGTTCTGCTAAACACTCTTCCACATCCAAACCACTGCACGAGTTGGAAGTCCAGGGACAAGCTCGCCTCCGCTGCGGAGAGAGGGGTGCCGAACCCCGACTCAAGTGCCCCACACTCACCCTGGTCCCGGATGATCTCCCGGATCCCGTGGAAGAACCCCCTGTAGCGCGGTCTGGAGGAGCACTGGTCGTGGATGAACTTCACCTGCGGGGCATGGAGCAGTCAGGGGCCGACTCCGGACAGCACGGACCCACACGGACAGTGTGGGAGGTGCTGGCTGGGTCACCCCGATGGCCTCCTGCAGGAGCCCCAGAGCAACACAGACAGGAGGAGGGCAGCAGGGAAAAGAGGAGACTCCTCTTTTCGGAAGGGATGTGTGTGTGTCAAGGATGAACGGCCAGAGCTGACGTTGATCAGCGTCAGACCAATTAGCTATGAGCCACCCACGAGGGCCTCCTACACCAGCAGTCTGACAGCAGTGCCCACGCCCAGTCCCCCCTGCGCCCCCTGTCCCGGGACTCACCTTGATGGTCTCCATGGGGCACACGACCAGCACGGCCTCGGCCACCCCTGCCGCCAGCCCGCACAGCAGGCTGCGTGAGCTGTCCAGCCGCCCCGCCGCATCGCGCATGGGGTTACTGACCAGCTCGAAGGTGCCGAACCTGCAGGGGGCGCACACACACACACACGCGTAACTCCCTTCCCTAGACTCGGGTCCTGTGGAGCTCTCCTGCTTTTAAACCTTTTTCTCCCCTTCCTTCAGAGTTTTGGGCCTTTACAACGAAAGGTGCTATGATATATATAACATAATTATTGTAGCAGCCCTGTATAATATTGTGAGGATTATCTATCTAATGCTATCATTATTATTACCACAGGCAGGTATAATATCATTAGTATTATCACATGTCTGTACAATATTATTAGTATTATTAATGCAGTCCCGTATAATATCAGGACTATTATTACCGCATTCCTGTATAATATTAGCAGAGTAGTTACTGCAGTCCTGTATAATATCAGCAGTATTACCATTAGAGCAGGCCTGTATGATATCAGCAGTATTATTACTGCAGTCCTGTATAATATCAGCAGT